TCCCCCTGCCCTCCTACTCGAACCCCCCCTTCCCCGCTCCCTGCCCCCTTACCGTGCCGGTGGCTGGCGGCGCGGCTGCACCATGACAGGCAGCCACGCCTCCCGGCTGGAGCCAGCCACACACCACGCAACACAGAGCACTGGGTCACGCCAGGCTCTGCCGCTGCGCTGCCCCAGGAGCTTGCCGCCCAGAGCATTGCGCGGGTGGCGCAGTGAGCTGAGGCTGCGGGGGAGGGAGAACAGCAGGGGAGGGGCTGGGGGCTAGCCGCCTGGGCCAGGAGCTCAGGGGCTGTGGAGAGCGGTGCCGTGGGCCGGATGTGGCCCGCGGGCCGTAGTTTTCCCACCTCTGCTGTAGATGCTGAAAGATTTGGACCCCCTTCCTAAGGAATTGACCAATGCCCTTTACTTAGATTCTGAACTGGATGTCGGGATTTCTAGTTACCTTATTTGTTGAGTGGATGCGATGGTCCTGCTTTGAGCAGGGGGTTGGACTAGATGACCTCTTGAGGTCCCTTCCAACCCTGATATTCTATGATTCTATGATTTAGCACTAACACTTTACTCACTGAACCCCCTTAAGTCTTGCTTTTGCCAAACCACAAATTTAGCTAACTCTCTCACACATCCCCCCTGCCTCTGGCCCAGGAATCTCCCTCCATTTCTCAGGAAAGATTTAAGGGCAGAGAGACCTCAAAAACCAGTCTTACAGAATGCACTATATTTGAATTCTCTGAAGAACAGCTAAACTACACATGTCAAAATAAATGAATACTTGTCATGCAGTCGGTTTAATTGTTTTAACTGGGTTTGTTTGCGTACTTACTAATCTGGTGATCTCAAAAGTTCTCCCAGTCATTAGTGTCCATTTTACTATTTTTTCATTCCCCTTTGTCTTGTTTATTAAAAAAAGATCTATCAATTCCAAAAAGTTAGTACTAGAGCTGGTCAGGACTGTTTTGACAAAATGATTTTTTCAGAAAATGCCAGTTCATCAAAACCAAAACATTTTGTGAGAAAGGGTTAGTTTGAATCAATTTTCCAACTTGAAAAAATATCCAAAAATTGTCAAAACATTGCAATTTAAACAAAAATTCCATTTTTCTAGTTTGAAATTACTTTTTGTTTTGAAGCCTAGCCAATTATGGTAAAAAAAAAATAATTTTTTTTTTGGTTAAATGGCCACAATTAAAAAGGAATCAATCCAGTTGACCTGAACCAGTTTGGTTTTTTAGATTTTTGATTTGCAAAAACTTTCAAGAGTATGATTTTTCATCCTGAATTGAGATGGGAAATGTTTTTGAAATTTACAGGCACTTACTAAAGAGAACTGCAGATTGTAATTCTCTCATGATCTGAGCTTCCCAGCACATCCCTTTGAGGGCATCCCAACCAAGTGTTCACATTAGCAGGCGATCATCTTTCCTAGCCTGAGGTATGGTGGGAGAAGTAATATCTTTTGTTAGACCAATTTCTATTGGTGAAAGAGACAAGCTTTCAAGCTTACACGGACTTCTTTTTCATAGGTAAGCATAAAAGCTTCTCTTTCACCGACCGAAGTGGGGGCAATACAAGATACCTCACTCGCCTTGTCTCTCTAATATCCTGGGACCCACATGGCTGCAACAACACTGCAAACAGTTATAAAGCTATGTCTATTGCCTGTTGTTGGGGGACAAGTTCTCAGAAAGTGCTCAGTGATGGATCTGGTTCTGAATAATTAGGGTGTTTGCCTGTAAGAAGAGATGTGATTTTTGAGCTGTAAAGCTTTGCAAACAGAAGAATTTTGAAAACCACAACAGACTGCACAGGCCCCCATGCATCTGCAATTTTTTAAACTAGAGGTGCTGAATGGCTTATAGTGCTGTAATAGGGGACCAGGTAAAAAGCTCACAGATGGAACTTTGTGTGGGCGTTCACTTGTGACATGGTGTGAAAATGGCTCTCTTGTGAATTAGAATCCCACGGGATCCTCCCCTGTCTTCTCCTTTCCTGTTCTGTCCTGGGGGCCATGTGTACTCTGCAGCGTTGTGTTCTGGGATGCTAAGCATTTTGTGGTGGCCACTTACAGACCTGCTAGTAGCAGCTGGTAAGGAGATGTCAGTCTGCAGGAATGCTGTAGGGGCACCAAGTGGATCATCCTACAGATGTTGTAAGATGCATGCTGGGTGCTGTAAATACCATTTGCTCATAAGAGCTGATCACAATTTTTTTTGAACAAAATGTGACCTTTATTTGAAACCAAAACTTCTGCAAGAAGCTTTTAGGGTCCCCCCCCCATTTTCTGGATTTTTGTTTTTGTGTTGTTCCTATCTCCCATTTTATCACTAAATGCAATAAAATGAATTATGTCTGTGGGGTATTTTTTTCCCTTTTTCATTTTGTTGTTGTTGACAGTCTAGCTCTTCAAAACATCCTCGCATTTGGAGAACATTAGTGACAAAAGGAAAAATGGAAAAGTGAAGGGGAAAATCCCTAACCATCATTCATTTTTTTTCCACAGGCAACTTTAATCTGGCGTTTCCTAACTTTTGCAATCTTAATAATGTTCTTTGAACACAATTTTTGTGTGGGGTGTGTGTGTATATACCAGGGATTGGCAACCTTTGGCACGTGGCCCGCCCCATTTATTTGCCGCGTCTGCAGGTTCGGCTGATCGCGGCTCCCACTGGCTGTGGTTCGCTGTCCCAGGCCAATGGGGGCTGCATGAAGCGGGGGCCATCACATCCCTCGGCCCGCGCTGCTTCCCGCAACCCCCATTGGCCTGGGACGGCAAATTGCGGCCAGTGGGAGCCACAATCGGCCGAACCTGCGGACGCGGCAGGTAAACAAACTGGCCCGGCCCACCCCGCGCAGGCGCTTATCCTGGCGGGCCGCATGCCAAAGGTTGCCGATCCCTGGTATGTACGTATGGGGGTGGGGGTGAGGTGGAGAGAAGATCATTAAAGGGGAAACTAGCTCTTTGCAAATCTGTCTAATGTCCCTACAGCCAATATGTTACATGGGCAGCTACACTCTGCATGCACACATGAACTTTTAACTTGGATTCCCAATCTGCGCTAAAGTCAATCAGATCCCAATAGCACAGGTGCTGGAACTAGAGGTGCTGGGGGTTCTGCAGCACCCCCTGACTTGAAGTGGTTTCCATTATATCCCGGGTTTACCGTGTGGTTCAGTGGCGCTCAGCCCCCCCACTATAAAAATTGTTCCGACGTCCCTGCCCAATAGTTACTGTACGTGCACAACTCCGTATCTGCTGTCTTCACTGGGAACACTTACTCTTGAGTCAGTTGAATTCTTTTTTCCTCTCTGTGGAATTAGCGATCTCATTGTGATGAGTGCGAGGCCACTAGTTTAATAGTCTGTATTTTGAACGGGGCTCAAGAGGAAACAAGTACGTTTTTAAAGAACAAGCCTATAAAACTTAACAGTGGTCCCGCTTTGAGCAGGGGGTTGGACTAGATACCTCCTGAGGTCCCTTCCAACCCTGAGATTCTAGGATTCTGTGGTGTCACTAGTAGGAAATTATAGAAACGGTGCTACTAACCTACAGACGATTGAATAGAGAATGGTAACCATCCTACAGCATTCTATAGTGGGGCTTTGATTCCCTGTTAAATTCGGTGAGACTGAGTCATTGCAACATTCCCATTCCTCTGGCAGAAGCCCCTTTGCCTCCCCGGAATTCAGCACCTTGGGAAGTAAAACTTTCCAGCAGAGGGAAACAAACCAATCTGCCTGGCTTTTTGGTGGAACAGGTGGTATTAGCTAAAGAGTGAGGCAAAGGAACAAGCAAACCCCTGTAAACCAGACTTACTGAGGTTTGCAATTTATTTTACTTAGTTCTTAAACATCCTCTGAGAATACCCATCTATTTGTGCTGCCCGCGTCTTCAAAGGAAGAGTGTATCAGCTTTTTTGTTTTTGCGTCTTTGCAGCTAGAAAAAACATATACTAGAGAGAAAGTTCAGGGTGTTTGTTTGCAATTATTTTGCAGAGGAATTTGATTTGTTGCCAAACTCTGCTATATCCACAGAAATTCCAGCAGCACCGAGATCTATGTCTGGGAGATTCTCTGCAGCAAGGAGACAGAGAGACTGGCCTGAAGGTGGCTCGCCCTGACTGACAGCCACCTGGGAAAAGGTCCTTTCCCTCTGATGCACCAGAGAGGGGCGACGGCAGAGCCATGTCTGTCGTGGATGATGGTTCTCTAAAGCACCCCCCGGAGTCTGCAGTGGACCAGCGCTGGAAGTTCCTCGTCTTCTACCTCTGTTTTTATGGCTTCATGACCCAGATCAGACCTGGGGAGAGCTTCATCACCCCCTACTTGCTGGGAGCTGACAAGAACTTCACCACAGTAGAGGTGAGTTTGCAGTGTGTCTCTCCACCTCCTGCACCATGCAGCTGTCATGCACCTGGCTCTGGAGAGCAGCAGTCTGCAACACACACTCCTTTTCAGCATCTCCTTAAGGGCATTAGGCTCCTGTAAACACTGCTCCCGTGGGACTGCCACAGGGGTCACTGAAGTGATTCTCTCTGGCGGATGGGAGAGCAGTAAGTGCTGAGATGAAGCAATGGGTGGGAGGTGAGACCAGCTACCTGCTAATGACGCAAATCTGTCTGTGAGGTGGGACAGCACCGGGCTGGAGTGAGAGGTACATCCGTCCGGGACAGGTGTGCTCTCTGTACCAGCAATTCAGAGCCCTCTCCCACCTGCTAGGCCAGTGGCTGATCCTTACGTCCGTTTGCGTAGTATGCTCAATTCCTTGTGTTTGTCACACAACCAGACAGTGCTTTTCTCAAGCAGCAAGAGTGCCCCAGAGCATCTGCAGGGGTGTTGGGAGTTCTGTGTGCTAGCCCCCTGGTGGGTTACGGGGTTTGCTCTTACATGGATAGCAAGCTACTGCCCATTTGCACATGGCTCAAGAACTCTGAAGGCTGATGGCACCTCGGGGCGAGGGGTCCATCTGGGAGGCTGTCAGTGAACAGGGGGCTCCGCACCAGTGTTATCCAATGGTGTGAGGGGACACTGTCTGCGCATACATATGCTACATTAGGGTCTGGAGACAACACCGCTGCCACGTTCTTCACATGAGGCATTCTCAGCCCCTTTGTAAGAGCCGTTCCCTCTGGGCGCTCGGTATATCTCACTGAGCCGTGGAAAGGCCACAGGAGGTGCACTCTGTACCTGTGCCCACAAATAGAGCTCGCCCCGTGGCCACCCACATGTGGGGTCTGAGTTACACTGAGCTGGTTTTTAAATGTGAGAACTGGGCCAAGGTAGCCCAAGCTAAGACTCTGCTCCCTGTAAAATCCTCTGCGTTTAGGGGAGATGTTTGAGACCCCCATGTCCTGATGGATCCTGCTTCCCCCCATGCTGTCCCGTTGCCCTCCCCATCCCTGAGTCCAGAGCTGTTGGTTCCTGATGCGGCTGCCCAGCCCAGCCAACGAAAATGAGAAATGCATGGTCAGAGATGGCGAAGTGCCGCGAGACACAGCCCTGCCTCTCTGACACGCTGCGCCAGGTTTCTAGGGGAGGCGTCTGAGTCGCTGTAGTTCTGCAGTGCCAGCCGGGATAGTGCCGTGACTGGGGGCAGTCTGAGGTGCACGTTTCACACATGGCTTGTCAGGGGAGGGAGAGGCTGTAACATCCTCTCTGTGATCAGCCAAAGGGCTCCTCAGCACGGCCCAGTGCTACCGAGAGGGATCGGCGTTGGGGCTTGTGCTCAGGGCTCCGGAGGCAGAGCCTGGCGGGAGTGTGGGGGGAGCCAGGCAAAGAGGGCACAGAGAGGGGTGGGTGGGGAGACAGCGATGGGCTGTGGTGCAGGAAGCACTGGTGATGGCCTGGCACAGCTCCCCCCCATTGCCCACGTTCTCATCTGAGTCTGGCCAGCCCAGAGAAGACAGCTGGGAGCTGTGGGTACAGAGGAGGCTGCTGTCAGTAGCAGGGAAGGGTGTGTACTTTGGTTCTGCTGGGCCCACAGCTCCCTCACCCCCCTAGGGTGACCAGATGTCCCGATTTTATAGGGACAGTCCTGATTTTTTGGTCTTTTTCTTGTATAGGCTCCTATTACCCCGCACCCCCCATCCCGATTTTTCACACTTGCTGTCTGGTCACCCTACCACCCCTCCAACCCAGTGGGGATGGTCTGTGTGCCAGACTCCGGTGCTGGATTTGGGCACTCCTAGGCTGTGGGGGGAGCAGCAGTACAGCAGGCTAGGGGCCGACATAGTTTCCAGCTAGCCCAACTGTCATCCCTGGTGCCAGCGTGATCGCTCTGTGGGTGTTGGGGGGTTTGGTTTCCTCACTCCTCAATCCAGTTTCCTTCTTTGATAGGGTTACAGGGCTAGTGGGCTGGGAGCAATAGATGTGACATATTGTGATTTCAGTCAGACTGTGGATACATTCCCACGTGACCGTCTCCTAGACAAACTAGGGAAATCGGGTCTAGATGAAATTCCTGTAAGGCAAGTGCAGAACTGGCTGAAAGACTGTACTGAAAGCTAGTTTTCAATGGTTCACTGACAAACTGGCAGGGTATATTTAGTGGGGTCCCCTGGAGGAGAGTCCTGCCTACCGTAATAGTCCATATTTTCATTCATGACTTGTATAATGCAGTGGAGAGTATGCTTATGAAGTGTGCAGTTGACACCAAGCTGGGAAGAGTTGCAAGCAGTTTGGCAGACAGGATTAGGATTCAAAATGACGTTGACAAAGTAGAGAATTGGTCTGAAATCAACAAGATGAAATTCAGCAAAGACAAGTGCAAAGTACTTCACTTGGGAAGCAAACATCAAATGTACACCTCTGAAATGGGGAAGAACAGGCTAGGGGTAGTTCTCCCGAAAA